TGAGCAATTTATTTTGTAGATGATATTTGGTTTTTCTTCCTTTGTCATTTTGTCCTTTGGTCTACATAGGATTGACTGAAGTGATTCTGTTGGTTTGTGTGCCACGCCTATTCCAAATCGTTTCAGTAGTCGTGCCGTATGTTCCGATATGTCTTTGATGTATGGTAGGATGATGCGTTTATTTGTTCCTGTGCTTGATTTCACTTCTGATGATGGTTTCCGTTGATGTTTTTTGATGAAGTTGCGTGGATAGCCGTTCGTTTGGAAGATAGTCTTCAGGTGTTTTTCCTCGTTTTTAATGTTTCGTATGTGCTGCAGTGTGTCTTCGCTCTCTTGAACAGAGTTTGTATGCAGTTGATTTTGTGGGTTCTTGGGTTGTTGCTGTCGTAGTTGAGAATTACGTCGGTGTGGGTTGGCTTCCGAAATACTTGAGTTTCTAGTTTTCCTGTGTTAGTTCTGGTGATTAGTACATCCAGGAATGATAGGCTGTTGTTTGATTCCTTTTCCATCGTGAATTTGATGTCACCAAAGACGTTGTTGATCTGATTGTAGATTTTCTCCAGCTCATTCCTTTTGATAATAACGAATGTGTCGTCTAAATAGCGAACCCACAATTTTGGCTTGATCACTGGCAGAATCGACGCTTCCAGTCTCTGCATTACCGCTTCGGCGATGAGTCCTGATATTGGTGATCCCATTGGTGTTCCTTTTATTTGTTCGTAGAATTTGTTGTTGAACTGAAGATAAGTTGTTAAGCATAGGTCAATGAGTTCAAGCAAACTTTGACTCCGAAGCTTTGTGTATTTGTGTAGATTTGTGTCGTTGGTGAGGAGCAGAGAAAGAGTTTCTTTAGCTAAGTTTGGTTTTATTGAGGTAAATAAAGCTGTTACGTCGAAGGATATCATCATTTCGTCGTTGTCAATTTGAATCCTCTTGAGTTTATTCCAATCAAATGTGTGTCCATAGTTGTCGGTATGTATTGAGATAAGCGAAGCAGTGTCATGGCGTTTGACTGCTAATTGATGTTCACGTAACCGGAGCTGAAGGGGTCGTCCACTTTGTCCTATGTAGTGTTTTTCACAGTTTGAGCAATTTATTTTGTAGATGATATTTGGTTTTTCTTCCTTTGTCATTTTGTCCTTTGGTCTACATAGGATTGACTGAAGTGATTCTGTTGGTTTGTGTGCCACACCTATTCCAAACTGTTTTCGGAATTAGTTACTTCAAGTAGTGTGAGGGCTAATCACTCTCTCCATTCTTGTTTAATTTTGTCGTAAACATCCTTTTCGAGTTAACATTATCCCCATCAGATTTCTCAGAGGGTTGATGTTGTACAAGGAGGACCTCTCATTGACTTAGAATATGAGATATTTTTAATTGATGAAGGCACTGACAAATTGCGGTGTCTCCTGACTATTTTTACAACAACGCAAGCATTTTCGGGATCTTGATCGGCAGCTGAACTAGTGGTAGGGAGTGAAGCATTTGAGCATGTTCACAGTTTCACTTATCTTGAGAGTCTCATCAATGCTGATGGCCTGGTGAGCGATAAAATGTCAGCATGGCTCGATCGTATTTTACCAACTTTCGTCACTTATGGGGTAGACGAGATGTCCGTTTGCTGCGTATAGGACATGTGTTTTGCGCACAAGTGTACTCCATCCTACCTTTTGGCTGTGAAACATGGTCAGTCATAGTAGAGGATATTCGTAGTGTACTGGTTTTCGATAATAATTGTCTCCAAAGCATTGCTCGTGTATCCTGGGACAACCAAATAAGCAATGTTGTTGTTAGGAAAGGGGTGCCAGGTCAGTAGATTGAAGTATTGAAACTTCATCAGTTAAGTTGGTTGGGATATGTGCTACGTATTTGTAAGCACCGACTTCATCGTCGAACTATTTATTAAGATGTAGGAATAGCTTGAAAAAATGATAGAGGGGGCCAGACCAAAACATGGCTGAGTCGTGTCGGTAGGTGGAAACCTCTACACCTTAAATTATATCTTCGAGTATTAATAATACCTATACCACCTCTACTACTATGGGTCTTGATTTGACAAGTACATCTCTTTGCTAATATGGTATGGAACTTGAACTGATGTACTCATGAACGCACCAAGTTCTACTTTCCGGTTGATTAATTAACTTGGGTGTAAAAAGTGTGTTCATATGTGGATGTATGTGTCTTTTTGAACGTTTTTAACATTCACGTGAATATAAATACTTTTATAATTTAAAATTTATGGAAAGATTATAATTTATAGTGTTTTTGTTCCATTTGTAGTGCCTCCACATATATTTCACTTCTCTCACATCTAACTTGGTTAAGCCTTTCGATTAATTTATTTAACCAAGCCATTTGTATAGCAACAACTGATATGTACCATTGTTATTTTTTATTATCTGCTTTTTATGAGCTTATACGACTGAGCATTGCTTACGCCTACGCGCTTACTCATCCTTTTCGCTTTAATGTTAATCTCTTAGTATTCCCATGAACTCACATGATTTGTATCGCTTGCATTTGACCTTGTCAGTCATTCGTCGCTTGTATTCATGTGTGTGCATATCTATTTCGCTTGTCATATGTCTGTCTTATTTTTATCGGACTATATATTCTTAGTCATACTCTATCTTTTTGAGTTGGCTCAACAGCCTTCTCCTATTCGCTTCTCCAATTCGCTTCGCCCATTCGCATATTCGCTCGCTAGTGTATCTGCTCGGTCTGTATGTGGTGTGCCTCAAATAAACGTATACGATACTTGGAGTTAACCTTCTGATTTATAAATCGAGCTTAAGAACACGCAATTATAGGCACACTACATAATGGTGAGCCCTACGTCAACAAAATTGGCCACCATCCATAATGGTGAGCCCAACGTCAACACAATTGGCCACCATACATAATGGTGATCCCGCCGTTCTCAGAATGTTTCCTGATGCTGACGAAAAATCGAACGCTTCCAATTAGTTGGTAATTTCGACGTAGAATCGAATGCAATCATTCTTCCGTGCATTCGCTCGCCAGTGCACTACAAAATCGTTATCCCGACGTCAGCGAAATCGGCCACCATACAAAATGTCGAACCCGTCGTTCATTCATATCACTCCCTATTTGCTTCGCTCGATTCATTCGTCCATACGTCTTCACAGAAGATCAGTAAACTCTCACTACATAATTCGACGATTCCGATGACAAATCGAATATAACCAACCAGTTGGTAATCTCGAGGACAAATCGAACAGAATCACTAACTGGAAATCCCGACGCCATTCAGCGACAAAGCAGCTCTCCTACTTAATGCATTAGCTGAACGAATCAAGCATTATCTTATCGTCATTTTGATTATGTACCAACCTGTCGCATTAATCTATTTCTCGAATTATCCAATTATCGCTATCATTATCGTATTAATGTGAAAGAACCATTATTATGATGAATCATGATATTATGACAATAATGGAATTATCTTAATCGCTAATCGAATCGCATTTCGAATATTCTGTTCATGGCAGGACATTTGTAACTCACGGAATTATTTTACTTCTTTCGACAAAATGAACGACATTCATGATTAAGGTGAGTTCATTCCATTTATTTTGCCGTATAGCATTATTATGTTTCGAATCGCTTATCAAAGCAACGGCTCAACGACAATTATGGTCCATTAATATTCCCGTGGCTATACGATTATCGCATTGGAGATATCGTCTATGTACTCATCAGCTGCTCGTACTCGAAAATCTTGCAGCCTGCTAAGTAAATTGGTGGTATGATATTACGCACATGCACACGAAACAGCAGTTCAAGCAGTCGAGCGAACCTCCTGCACGCTGATATTCGCATGTTTTCGACTACCCCAACGCTGGCAACGGCTTGCAACCCTATTACACACATAAGTTTGGAGTCATATACTCAATGGTAGTAACTTATGTTCTCGATATGCATCTAATGTTTATGCATCGCATCTGTACGCAGCTTTATTCTCCAAATTTTTTCACGATAATCTCGACCGCAATTTCTTCACCTATCTGCAGCCACTTGATTTATCGATGAGCCTTACCGTAATGTCTATGCGATTATCGAATTCCGTCTTAACTGTCATGCCTAAACGATATTAAATATTTTGCAGCATTTGTATCACATTTTCGTATCGTACAACTGCTCCTAATGTGTTCTATTCGAAATCGATTGTTTTTGCTAATAACCGCTTACTACATATTTTTGATATTCTGTTACTATGCGAACTTACGAACGTACTCGAACAAGGTAACTTTAATTTTCGTACCTTTCGATGTTTTCCGACGATTTTGATTTTTTTCTCGCAAACAAAGACATTTTCGTAACCTTGTTTGCTGGAAGGGGGCTATTGTAGTGCCTCCACATATATTTCACTTCTCTCACATCTAACTTGGTTAAGCCTTTCGATTAATTTATTTAACCAAGCCATTTGTATAGCAACAACTGATATGTACCATTGTTATTTTTTATTATCTGCTTTTTATGAGCTTATACGACTGAGCATTGCTTACGCCTACGCGCTTACTCATCCTTTTCGCTTTAATGTTAATCTCTTAGTATTCCCATGAACTCACATGATTTGTATCGCTTGCATTTGACCTTGTCAGTCATTCGTCGCTTGTATTCATGTGTGTGCATATCTATTTCGCTTGTCATATGTCTGTCTTATTTTTATCGGACTATATATTCTTAGTCATACTCTATCTTTTTGAGTTGGCTCAACAGCCTTCTCCTATTCGCTTCTCCAATTCGCTTCGCCCATTCGCATATTCGCTCGCTAGTGTATCTGCTCGGTCTGTATGTGGTGTGCCTCAAATAAACGTATACGATACTTGGAGTTAACCTTCTGATTTATAAATCGAGCTTAAGAACACGCAATTATAGGCACACTACACATTCACCAGGTAACTGATTCACCACCACGTATTTATTCTAATCAGTATTCAAATTTGCATTCGACAATTTTATTGAATGATAACATGAAATCGCTTAGTTTACAACGTCGTTTAAAACAAACTCAACATTATCACTTTATAGATGTTAATGAAAAATTATTGAAAGCAAATGAATTTAATAATCAAGATGAAAATAATTTCAGTGCTGGTTCTATTCTCATTGCAATTGTTGCTTTAAGTTGTGCTATAATTCTTGTACTCTTAGGCATTACAGTATATGTTTGTGGTCGTCGTGGATTTCAAAACTTTCGTCAGAACAATAACAATAACAATACTCATATAAATGGTCGAATTCAATATTTAACACGCAATCACAATTCATTGAACAGTATCAAGTTGACTAATGAAAAAGTTAACTGGAAAAATATATTGAATTCCGAGTCAAATACAGTTCATATTAATAGTAATTGTGATAATGAATCGTATAATCCACATGTTCTACCTACACCGACTATGACATTATATCCTAATAAATCAATACTAATCGATAAGGACAGCGAAAGTGTTTTACGCTATCATCTTAATTCAAACGAATCCACAATATTGAACAATGAAAATAATCCTTATGTTGATCAAACAGATTCTGTACATTTAAAATCAATAATAATTGGACAGAATCAATTCAAACATAGGCGACCACAACAAGAACAACAGGATTATCAAACAAATCACGAAGGTTATACAACATTTCTACCACTTAGTGAACGATCATCTTCAAATTGTCATCCAAATTATACAACATTACCATTAGAAGCTAATCATTCAAGCTATGTATCAATGCCAATATCATTATTGTCTAATGATGAGTTCAAACAAAACTGCGAAAAGGGTTGGACATTGAGTGGGTGTATATTACCGCAATATAATCAGTATGAACAGAAAATTATTTCTTTTATAAATTCTAACGAATATTCAAAACAAAGTCATGAAAGGAAGCATTCAGAAGAACATAAGTTTGATGGTCAATCGAATCCAAGTAAAGTTAACAATGATAACTTAACAGTGACTCCCATTTTATCGGTCCATACCTCAACAACTAATACTAATGCAGCAGCTGATAATAATATAAATTCTACAGATACTACTGATATGGTGAATAGTAATATAATCACTAATAATAAAACTAATGCTATTCCTTTTACACAATCATTGAAAATGAAAAAATCTCATAAATTGCAATTTGATGATTCGTTTAACTTAGTTAATAATCACGTTGACAATAATTTAGTTGATTGTACATTGAACAAAAAACATGCGAAAAGTTTAAATGAAATGAATCATTTAAAAACTGCTCGTAGTTGGGAATATATTGTAATACCAGAAATCGATCAAGTACGTTTATCAATGAATGGTTGAGTTGTTATTGTTATGTGGGTAAATTTACTTAGAAGTGGACATGTAATCTATCTGCTCTTAGTACGTGTACAAGTAGAATGAGCAAGTACCTTCTTTAACTAAGAAAAGTTTTGGTAAAATATGGTCGAAATCAATTTTCGTCAAAATATTGTCAACTCCTAAGACGATATCCATAACAAATCATCGGTATTCTCCTTTTCCATTCACAATAAGTCAACAGATTTGTTCCAGTTTTTAACTCGATCGCATAAATATGTGCAGATTCAGTTATGTAACGCAGTGTTTCTCTGTTTATAAATATTATTCACTAACCTAAGTAACCATTTTTAGTCACATAGTCACATATGGTTAAGTTTAACGGCTTAGAACTTTGCACAATGTAGATAAGGTGATTTGATAGCTTTAATTATTCACTGAACTCAATCCTATCACAGCTAACAATGGTCATTTCTTGATAATCATCATTTCCTAAATCGAAAATAACAAAGCTCATAAATGAAGTACATTTAAATAATGAAGTTAATCAAGTCACTTTCTTACTTATATTTTTCAAAAAATATATCTCATGATGATTGAAAATTGAATTCCTATCACATTATTTCCGGATAATTGTAAAATGTCAATCACAATTATTTCTTTCGTTTTAATTATTTCTACAAACAGAAAATAGATTGAACACAAAGGCATAACAACAATTTTTCATTTCAGTGTGAAGTATACACAATAATATATATTCTTTCTTTTCCGGTCATGCTAAATAACTAACTGAAGACAAAGAATGAGAAATGATTCAGTGAAAAAGACATTATAATTAGGAAATATGGGTTGTAAATTTGAATGTCTGTCTGAATAACGGTGTTGACTGGATTGTTCTGTGACTGTTGAACCAATCGACACAAATCGTTTGATCTTTTTGTTATAGAGATTCAGAATCGACTAGTAATGTATATAAGTGGTCGTCATTATGTTAATTATTGACGATTCACTGAATGTGTAGACTTTTAACATTTTTCTATTTCTATTAGAGTTCAGGTGCTGAATACAAGGAATTATACATGTTTTCCATTACTCTTTCATTTCTACCATCATAAGTGAGCAATACTTTATGGACACATGTAATCAATATTTCAGGCCAGATCACGTTTCTTACTACAAAGTTTACTGACACTCTGATTAAAAAACGAATGTTCAATCGATGTCACTTGTGTAGGTTGAACCTGACTTATACATCGTTCAGTTAAAAAATGATGAAGCACTCTCAAATGGATTATTTTAAACAATCGTTCACACAAGTACAAATATTGAAACTTGATTTTAAAACAAACATTTCGCAACATAATAAAAAGTACTGGCAAAATAACTAGAATAGATTATATGCACTGCCTACATTAAATTGTTTTTAGTTTCAGAATAATAGATGGCCGGATTGAGTATGTACTTCCCAATTTAACAGGTTAAACATTTCAAATTTATCGAACCGTTTCTTTAGTGATGTGGGGACACTGAATAACGTTGATAAAAATAAGATTATAGACTCAAAATTAGTCTAGAAAATATTATTGTGTTACTAAATTGTGTGAAATGATATTGTATATTATATTTTTGAATATGTTCTATTATTTGCTTTGGTTAATTCAAGCCACTGTCTCCGCTTTCATCAAATATTATGGATCATAACATAACAAAGGAACAACAACATAAAGGTAAGTATTGAATTTCGCTCTTAGTTTTTGAAAAGAGTGAATATTCTGTTTGTAAACAAATTCAATATTATTTTCTAAAACTGTAATTTTTCAAACTATTCCAGTATTTGTATTTGATTCCGAAACGTTTATTTTTGAAGTAAAAGAATGTGATAAACGTCTATGAAATGAGTGTTAAGGAAAAATTTAGGTGTTTCTAGGGTTTCAGAGTTACTGACCTTAGATTTAACATGCTATTACTATTTTCATGTACAAATGAACAATCGTTCCAATACTGCGATTAACTTGACATAAAAGTTCAAAACATTGTGTTACTGTTGCGCATGAACGTGAACATGTCATTTTGATATGCTTGAACTGTTACGAGTTTAGCTAGGTCGGAAAACGAGGGCGAGGATTGAGAATCTGGCGACACGATATGCTTTTTCAATCCCAGTTCCCCAACCTTCATTGAATAACAGAGGGAGACTTTATATAAAGTAGAACCTGTATTCTACAAGCATGCAGATAGCGCGAGTTCTGAATCTAGAAGAGAATCAGGATTCCGCACTAGGGATCCGGGTCCTAGAACGTTACAGGCAATGCATATTTAAACATTTATGTTGAGTAGTAAACAGAATAGAAGTATCTGACATTGATAGTTAAAGCGACATTGATAATCAGGGAGACCAATAAGTAACAAAGTTGAAGTACGTGCCATCTATATATCTAGGACCACAACAAAATTGACCGTTAGGAATCAACCCGTAGGAATTGACCAATTATACTGCGAGGATATTGTATGAATATTCCGACAAGTACACCAGAGATGAAACAAAATTAAGTGGATTTCATAATATTTCACTGAACGTTTCGCATCAGCTATTCAGAATAGACATCTATTGTGATAGATTCTCCCATGAAGTTTTGTGCTGATTTATGATACCTACTTCATAATCCCATGGCTTCATTATTTAATTTCTGTTTATTGATTTAGCATCTTGGATTCCAATTGCATCAAGTAAGCTAAGCACAATTTCATCCGTTCAAAAACCAATAATACATGATATGAATCATGATTCTTCAGATAATCAACCACTCAATAATACTGATTCATCAAAATATATCACTAATAAAAATTCCACTCATTTACAAACATTTCATCAACCAGTGAACTCCAACTCATCCATATTACATTTATATAATGCACAGAATATTCCAGATTACAATTCATCTAGAATAACAACAAATCAACCAATCATGGATGAACAAATCAATCAATCCAATGACAAATTTAATTTATACTCACAAGGTCAATCGATCACACCAGTGAATCTGATTGACTTGATGGATAAACGAATCTGTTGCACAAAATCATGTGACTGTGGAAAAATAACAAATAATTCATTAATGAATCATTCTCAGTACCCAATGAATATGATGAATCTACAACATCCATATTCGGATCAAGAACAAAATAATCAGAATAATTCACCAGTCACAACTGATTTTGTTTAAATGAATCTATTCATGCAAATGATTCTTGCTTGTTTCTTTTTTCTACAGAATGTCCAAATAAAACAATTGATGTTAAACGAACATCGAATGAATCATTGCGTTTAATCAGATTATGTAACATGATTACCTATGTTAGTCCTATACTAAGTGGAATTACGAAATCCGATGAGCGTGAGAGAACCTTGTACTAAAAAATTTGGAATTAAAACAGTTCACTGTCCTTGTAATATATTCCTATTCCAAATAAACACATTTGTTTTCTTAATATTAGGATGGTACGGGAAAATCATCAACTAACTTAACTAAGTACTATTATAAGGGATAACGGTAACACCAACGAGTACATTCATCAATACGTGATATTCTCGTCTTGGCATTTTAGACAGAATTTCTCGCTAAACTAGATGTATTCAGCTGGCCAGGAATGATAGTAGTAAAAAACATTTCTTACTATTCTGGCAGATCAATTTTTTAAATGTGTCGTAATCAGATATGAAAACAAGAATCATTACCCACAAATGAACTGACGTCTATGGTGCACCAAGGAATTTCGTCAGACATCAGTAACTGACAAGATGTTCTGTAGTTTGACTCAGTTACTTTTATCCATTATTCAGAAAATACAGGGCAGTAACATTGAAATCTGTTGGAGCAAATATTAATTTCACAATTTATATTTGTAGCTTCATACTATCAGACAAGTCAATAAGTGTCTATTGCAGTGCTCATAAACTGAAATTCGTCATTCACGCTATTCTTTAAGGGAAGTAGCATCGTAGATTTAAGAGGGCTTTTTTCAGTGATCAGTCTTAAAGACTACAATAATTTTTTCACAAAAGTTTAAGCTGAGCTGTGCTCAAAGCAACAGCAGTTCAGTTCGCATTTTGTTTGATGCCAGAATAATAAGCAATGCGGCATGATTGCCGGTAAGATTGTTATTATTGTATTTTTTTAGTTACATATTGTGTTTCATATTGTAAAGCTACTTTAGTAGTATATAACACATTTAAAAATAACATGTCAGTAAACTAAATACTCAGAGTAATATTATGCTCTAAATGAATAAGCTGCTGACACAACTTGTATGCATACAAACTTGAAGAGAAATTTTTAAAACAAACAGGTTTGCAGGCATTCATTTCATTGCTAATTAAGGTATGAACGAATACGAAAATAATTTTTCTACATAAGATTTTCGTAAGTCACGTATGTGTAGAGATTATTTACTTCATATTAGTAAATGTGTTTATCCGCTGACACTTTTCCATTTTGGGAATCTAAAGATGACGTGGAAGAACGAAAACACCAAAACCTTGTGTAATTAGTTGAAATCGTTTGATCATACATGAGAATCAACCGAAACACTGTAAATGATTCATGATCTAACCACATCTTACGGCTTTACATATAGAACATTATATCTTGGTATGTATATTGATTGTTTCATTGAAACTTTTTATGATATTTTTCATATCTTCAAGTTTGTTCATAGTAAACTAATGAAAATTGTACACATATGCAATGAGATACCGCTGACTAGATAATAGAATTCCAGAAAACAACTTAACTATTAATGAAATAATATTTTGGTGAACTCTTTCATTCTCCATCTTGATTAAGTTTATGATAACATTGCCAGATTTGATTTGATTCTCATTCGCTATCATGACTTCTTCAAACATGTTTCATGCCTTTCAGTAATAAGTATTCAAGTTTGTTTATTTCTTACTTTTAATGTTTTACTGCTTGTCAGAAGCTAGTACACGGGATTAAATTTGTAATTCAATGTTGGTTGGTATGTTGAGTGGGAAGTGCACTAAGCTTACTGGTTTACACAATGAAATTCTCTTCAAGATGTGTCTGCCAGCTATCTAAATTTGATATATGACAAAATGAATTCAAATTGATGTGTTCCATGTATTTATTGAAGTTAACATCAATGTCGATCACATTGAGAACTATTTATTTCGAAGATTATTTTAACGATTTAATTCGATACGACAAGGATAACTAATATTTGCTACGTTTCTCTGACAAAATAAAGACTGGTTCATTAGCTTCACGTTCAAAATAAATATTGATAACTAGGTCGTTATGACAGATTTAGGAGATAATTTACGTCTACTTGATGTGTATCGGTGAAAGAACACGTGGATTTGGGGCTTCACAGCATCATTCACAAATGTATTGATAAGAATATTAGATGATTAGTTTTTCATCGTCATGTAGACATAGAACGTATCATATTTTGGTTGGCCAAAATTGGGATTCTCAGGTACTTCAACTCTAGTATTGGAATGAGCCGCTGAAAGGCAACTGGAATTTCGCGATTCTGACGCCTTATGTACATCAGTTTCAATCAGAGGAACTGCAGCTTCATCTTCCGTTTGAAAATATAATGTTCGTCTGGATGCGTAAAATGCCTGATTACTAAGTTTACATCCTGGTTCTGATAATAACTGTTTCTGTCCACATTGACTCTACTGAGGCATGTAGTTCTTGTAGAATGGTTGCTTGATGTACAGGAAAATAAACGGAAATTCCGAAATCATTATGTACTGTATTTGTTATACAAAATTACTGTGGAACCTTGAAGCTGAGGACGATTTGGAAGCTATTCGAGTGAATGCTTTCGATGATGGTTGCAAGGAGGAAATAACAGCTCGCGTTGCTGTTCGCCCAATTTCATCCTCGTGTTTTGTGGTGAGGTACATATCGATAGTTTCACTCACTTGGTAAACACGACATAACATTATCAAGAAATCTTCCAGTTTGATGAAAGTCATAATCATATTATTATTCTAGAGCACTTTTTGTGAGATATGCTGAAATGTTAGATAAGCCTCAGAACAGAGATTTGTAGGATCAAATGAAACATGCCTGATACGTAGACGAACGGTCTGGCGATTAGTTCATTCAATGCTGGACGGTTTATTGAACTTCGAAAACGTTCAAGATAACAAAAATTTATAAACCAATAGCATTAGACGTTTTTATACATACAGTGTCCATCCGCGTTGATGACATATATTGTTGATCTACAGCTGATAACTGATGATTGCGTTCAGCAATCATGATTTATGAATAAGATGCAAAGATTATAACCTTTTTATATGAAAAGTGTTGCAGGAATTTTTGTACTATTGGTCTTTCACTGAGCTTTGACACACTAGTTACTCCAAAGACATTTCTATTTGAGAATTTACATTGAGATTATTTATTTAGTGAACTACGGAAAATAATTCAAAAAGACATTAGATGATTATCATCATGTAAATAAATCCTTTGTTCCTATGCATAGTTAAGTCGGAGGTTGGAGCCTATAAACCTGAATTTCGGCAAAATGACAAAAGCTTGTCATCAGTAAATTTAAATGGGTGTCACAAAAATGCTTTCACCGTTTTAGTATGCATTTCCATGGTACAAGGTTTAATGATTGGCACGAAGTTTGTAGATAATGAGTATAAACATAGGAAAGTGACATGTGGAATATCAATAAATTCGTCGGCTGAATCAATAACCTCCGATACCAGGAGCGTTTACAACTCATTAGACATCCTACTGCTATGGAGACATCTACTATTTATTGGAATTCACATTGTCAATCACAAGTGCGAACGTAATAACTTTGTTATAGAAGTTGTCTGTCTTTACAAATAAATTTTCAGACTGGTTTCATTTCACATTTTGTGCATTGAAGTGTCACAAAACATGTTCAAATTGAAAAGCATTAGTTCTTTCTCTGCATTACCTTGAGATTTAACAGTAAAGCCGAAATGTTTAGAAGATTTGAGTATCAGTAATCTGCTAGAATAAAATTCGATATTGTCGAATTGCCTACTGTCCTCCGATTGTAAGCGTGAACTAAAACTTTGATGGTTTCTGGAAGCAAGTGAGTCAAGTTGATGTTATATCCTCTGTCACTATGAAACAGCAGGTTGGCTACTAACATGTTTATTCAATAATAGAACGTCGTTCGCTGATAAACTAACACCCCTGCAACGCTCACGCAAAGAGGGCGAACAAGACGTTTCTCCTCAAGTCGGAGAATGATTTGTTGGTTACTTCAGTTAAAATCACGATTTCGAAGGCAAAGCGAGGAGGCCTAATCCATAGGTTTGGCAGCATGCACATAACACACATTGAACAATACGATTTCCGCCTGACGGTTTTAAATAACTGGTGTTACGAATAATGCTGAAAGGTAATTGTGGTCAGCAGGTCCACTCGACGTTTCGACAACCTCTAATAAAGCAGACGTTCTCTTTGAAGAAGAATAAAACATCTTCAACTGATGCTGAACTCTGCCAGTAGACCCTTAGGGGCGACCCCATTCCGTTGAAATCTCACTTGCCAAAAATACGCTAACCAGAAAAAATAATTCAAACCATTTTAACGGGGCAGATGCCTCTTCTGACAACCAGAGCAACCATTTTTTTAGGTACATGGAACGTTCGTACATTGTGGGAGACTGGAAGACTATTTCAAGTTGCGACAGAAATGAAAAGATACAACCTCGAGGTGCTCATCATCAGTGAAATACATTCAACACAAGTAGGACAACTGAGACTTGCTTCAGGGGAACTGCTGTTATACTCTGGTTATGAAGCGAAAAACGCTTCACAT